GTGCTAAGGTCGGTCAGCTATACGTAAAACATCTCCCCCACTGGACACGATACCTATACCTCTCACCACCCTCCCAATGTTTGCCTAAGGAGTGCCAACATACCTGAGGATACAGGTAAACAACCAGCGAGAGAGATCGACCTTCAGGTAACCTATTGCAGCAGAACAGTGTTACATCCTGTCACCGACAGATAAGATGTTATCTTTTCGTGACCATAAGCAAGATTCATTCCACAAAAATGCCATTGTGTATTCATAGATATGGTCTGTGCAGGGGGTGCATCGAACCGGCAAGCACAGTGGAATGCACGGTAGGTCATGATATTGTGACCATTGTTTTGACTTCAGTTAATAATAAGGCTGTTGTACTGTGAACACAGTTACCAGCCTTTCAATTGACTGGGTTAAGTGCTGAACTGTTTGAGAGTCAAACTGGCAATATATGGATTGAAATTTGTCACTGTGAAAGAAATAGTAAGATTAAAAAACTGACCAAATACCTAATAACCACTTTTTGACATATATGTTTTGATGCACCGTGCTATAGACATTTTCCAGGCCAAGTAAACTGTTCAAAGTTGACACTCAACCCTAAATTGTGTATGTAAAAATACACAAATGGTTAAGGGTGGAATGTGTTTCTCTCGCCTGTGGATCTCAAGGCTCGGGATGGGCCTCTCAATGGGCCTGATTTATAGTCTGATGTGGGGGTGTCACACACAACTCTCTCCCTGTCATTATTCCGAGGAGGAGTAACCATCAAGTCTGTCAGAGCATTGGTGGGGGGCAGGATACGTGGACAGCCAAGATGAGTAAGGAACAGGTAGGAGGGCAGGGCGCAGATTTATAGTCGATTCCCAGTATCCTAGGAGCATCTCTTCTGGGACTAAGACAGTATATCTGTCCGAGGCTCCCTCTTGCTTTCAGAAAGCTGCTTTTAAACCATCTGACTCAAGAGATCACTATGGTGATCTTTGGCATGGATACACATGCATAAACACACAGCTTAATGCTGACAAGGCCGCTGCTGAGTTTACATATGAGATACAAGTCAGTGACCCCCCTGGGAACTGCAAAATGGGTGGAGGGGGAGGTAATGATGAAGGAGAGGCTGGACAAAGACAAGTGGTAGTTATGGGGGGGGTCTAGATTCAATAGCAGGCAGACTGATAGAAACAAGAAGTCTGATATGTCAAAATGAAACTGACCAACAGTTACAAATGTTAGTGTTGCAGAGACGACAACATCCGTGGAGTAGTAGATACCATATCCCCTCAATCATATCAAGGTCAAACTTGGAGGGGGACATTTAATGGGGTTGCAGGTTTGACTCCAGGCAGTTCCGTCTTGGAGCAGCGCTCAGGCCTGAGTCAAGCAGCATTTCAAACCACAGAAAGTGTGTAACTTGACACTCAGAATATGGCTTATCTGTTCATCTCTATGGATAAAAGCGTGCCACTTGTGTGAGTGTATTCAGTGTAAATGCTACAAAATGAACATGTTCATTATGTCAACACGGATACTACATGTATCGCTTTATTTCACCAAACCAAACTTTCATGCTTCCTCCTCCTTATCCACATTTGTTCTCTATCATCAATCATAACAAAGGGGTTTTGCCCAGCTCTACTGCACATGTGCACTTCGGCTCATCAATGTGCATTTGTGCATCAGTAGCTGCCATCTTCACGTGCTTGTTTTGCTTCTTATGTGCTTGATCAAACAGATCTACATTCGGTGACAGGTCTAGCATCAAGCCTTTCAGCTTGAGTGATGAGTCTGTCAAATCCACCTGCCTCCCTCCTCTCCCGTCAGTTTTCTGTTAAATTACTTGTTCAGAGCCCTGAAGCAGACATTTTCTCTTTCTTACTGGCGTCTTGACCCCCCCTCTGGATCCGGCCTGGGCCCTTGGCGGAGGCACTATGTTATTTACTGCCCAGAGAGCTCTGTGAGCAGAGAGGCATGGCTGGTTGAACAAGGGAGCAACCTGCTGCTCACTGGCGCACAAACACAATCATGGTTGTGCACAAACACAGACACAGTCACATGAACATCCCAGGGGGCTGGCAGAGATGTTTACCACTCTAAACTACACACAGTAGAATTGAGAGCCATTAATGTAGAGATCAGCCACAACCCCGGCAACTAACCTGCAACTAGTTTAAACCGGTTAAAACAGAAAAGGAAAATTGAACCTATGGGTTTGGTGACTTGACAGAGCAAACACGCTTGAAGGCTACAGGAAGTTCAACAACAGACATGACGCGAGTCACTCAGGTGAACTTTACGTCCTGCTGGACTCATTTGGGAACATGTCCTCAGGTGAATGAAGCTCTGTGAGGACATTCTCTGACTTGCACATGTTGGATGATTGAAAAGAGATACAGATCCAGACAAGCCAAACAGTTGGCAATAAGAAATTGCCCTGAAAGGGTAATAAAACCATCAGCTGGGATCAGAAGACATGAACTCGTTTCCGATCGGTGTGGACATTTCTGCTCAGTTTTACGAGACAAAAAAATTGTGTTCTCAGGTGCTTTTAAACTCCAAGTGTCTTAAGAGCTAAAAGCAGAGCCACAATGAAATTCCTTCTCCAAATTCCCTCCTTCCTCTCAGTAATTATAGCTTTCCAGCTGACAGACTACAGGTCTGCTGTGCTTGTCTTTGCCTCTTCAGATACAACAGGTAGAGTAAAGCATGTGTATGCTGGGCTGGATGCCAGTCTCTCACTGGTTCTGCAAGCCAAGTATATATTACCATTCCTGGTACAACAAAAACACCGGGGGAATGAGGGAGGGAGAGACCTATTCTTTTTTAAATTTCCTGGCCATAGTATTTCATGGGAAAGAGGATATTTTCAATGAGAACTTGAGTACAGCATCCTACACAAGAAAAACAGAATGTTCCCCTTTATAAAAATCCTGTGAGGAGAAAGTTTGTTCTGGTAAACTTAGTGAAGATGATTTATTTAGACGAGTGAAGATAATTTGATAAATTGAAAGCTGGGTTGATTTTGGATTGGAAATAAGAGTGTGAGGAGAGGATGAGGGAGCAGGGTGTGAGGGATGTAAATGTGAAGCAAAGAAGACTAGATCAATCTTTTATCACTGCAGTGTGCTTTCATCCCTAATGGGTCCGACATGAGCGGAGCCCGGCACTACCTTCCGTCACATTGCACGGGCAGGGAAAGATGCATGGAAAGACGGAGAGGGAGAGGCAGACAAAGCCACACATCAGGAGAGACGGCTACAGAGGGAAAGTGGTTCAAAACCACCTTTCTGTAAATAATCACAACCTGAAACATGCAAACATTATTTCACTGACATGCTGTTATGGCGTTTTCAATTTACCTCTGGCTCTGAGTGCATCTGCAGGAGTTGGGAAACACTCCTGATAAGGAAGGCGAGAAATTAAGTCATCGCAGCATGAAGAATGACTTTCAAAATTTCCATCAAGAATCCCAAGAGAGATCTCACTGTGCATGGGTGGACTTGTTCCCCTTGCCATGCGCGCTGAGTGACAGACTGATAGAGACACGGTCTGAGAGACAGACATATGATTTTAGAAAAGAAGGGGACTTCATCTGTGTTTTTCAGCTAGTGAAAACAACATGCGGAGAACAAGGCACGATGACTCTCAGAGGACACTCAGCTCGCTCCATGCTAAACCGGCTCATTCATGTGAAAGACTTAAGGAATATCTCGGCAAAGAGGAAGACACAAAGAGGTGGAGGGAGTGGTAACTAAATAAGGCTGTGAAGAAAGTTTTATTATGTAATGTTTTATATTTCTGACTGCTGGCAAACACATCATTATACTGCTGTCTGGTTTTCACTTCAGAGAGAAGTTGTAGAACATTTAGCAGTATATTATATCATCACTGCTCTGCTGTGTCCATCAAAAAACTGGAGCAACCATTGTAAAATTCATATATTTTAAATAAATACACACAGCAAGACAGGTATATTTCGACCAGGATACAAACTGCAGATGCACATGACAAACAAAATTAAAATTAATAGAGTTGAAGCTACGATACATGCTCCATACTATAACAATGTTTGGATCTTTCCCTTACAAACATCTATTACGATGACGTTATCTCCCTAGAACCAAGTGCAACAGACCAACAGAGATAACACATGAGGTATTACTGTTAAACTCCCACAGTCTGTCCAGAGAAGAAAAAAATAATCAGCTCCCATGGGAGGGGTGATTCGATCGATGGCCCTGATTGGATAACAAATACAGCCTGCTAATGAGCTCCAAGTTTCACTATCCAACACATAAACCAAGATGGGAAATGTTAAACAAGTTGCCAGCTGTGCATAATGATGAGTCAATGTTTAAATAGACTTCACAGTGGTTTGGTGGATTTGAGATTTGTGGCACGTTAACAGAAAGACAACGCAGTAGGAACACGCAGCGGCAGCGAGAGAACTGAACTCTGCTCATGACCTCCATAAATGAATCTTTAATCCCTCAGTGGTAAAAGGAGCAGCCGGTGTGACAGGAGACCGGTGTAGGAGAGAGCCTGCACTTGTCTCATAGTTATAACACTCAGTTAAGGTTTTCACAGCAAACATGCACAAAGGCCTGAGTCACAGGGAGCATTTGAGACATGCTCAAAGAAGTAAAAAAAAAGAGAAGGAGCACACAAAAGCGTGAGGTTTCCCCCAAACAGGTTTGAGTCCCTTTGTCCCAAACAGTAACATTTAGATATCAGGTCTAACATCAACAGGTACATGTAACAGCACACAGCTCACCTCCCTGGAGACATAACACAAGGCTGCCATCGTTTTTCTGGCACTCACTAAAAACCTACAAACACAGCTTGACACTTATCATTGATAATAGGCATAATACTAGCTCTCACATGCATGCTGGAACATACAGCCGAGCAACAGACAACATCTGACTTCACAGAAACTTCCCAGCACTGATCCTGAACCAGGCAAGGACACGTTCACATAGATCTCTGAAAGCAGCTCTTACACTCACCTCGTGAGAGGATCTTATCCTTCTCTTCAGGGACTTTAATTTCCTCACTCTGTTTTTATTCTCCCCCGTCTCTCTCGCCCTCACTCGGGGAAATCCTTTTACTTCTGACAGAGCAGCAGAGCCGGTTGTGCAGCTGGTGTGCGAGGCAGCAAGTGGCTTACGTGTGTGTTTGTTTGTGTGTGTGTGTGTGTGTGTGTGGAGGAGTGTGCCGAGTCCAGCGGAGGTCATAGGCAGTCAGATGTGGTCACGGGAGGAGGCTTAAAGAGTGTCGTGACTTCTCCTCTGCTCCGTCTTGTGCTTTCTGCTCTCCTTGCTGCCTGGTGAATGCACTTCTCCTGGGCGTCCTCGCCACAGCCAAGATCTGAGACTGCTCTCTCTCTCTCTCTCTATACCCCTCCCTCTCTCTGTCTCTCACCCACACAGAAACACACCCGCCCAATCACTCCTCCCTCTCTCTATCTCTCCCTCTCTCTTTCTCCCCACCCTTTCTCACTGTGCTGACAGATCTGGTGCCTCCCCCTTTTCAGGTAGTTGAAAGCATGTTTTCAGCTTTGACGTTCTCCCTCCATATCAATTCTCTCTCATTCTGCTCAGTCTCCGATGACACAGAGGACGTTATGTAAGAAAACCCAGAGATGAGAGCAACTTAAACTTGAAAAACTCTCTGCATGCGTTTGTATTTACTCATGAGTCTCTACTGTTTGTACAATCTATGACCTAAGGCATTAGACATACACCCTCTGGCCTCCAGTCACATGAACAGCTGATTACACAAATGAGGCCGTCAGGTGATTTTCTCTTCCTTTTCCTGGAATGAGGTCATAGTCCATCAGACCAGGTGCTATTACAGAGTCTCTGTGTCTGTGTGTGTATTGGACAAAGCCTTGAGGGAATATAAGAGAACATAGCAACCTGAATATGACCACTGTGGACCACAAGAGGGACATGTGTACAAAACAAAAGCCGGATCAATATCAGAAACAACGCAGCACTCATGTATGAGTCAGTGGCACAATCCGGAACCGTGGCTGTATCACCACAGTCACCTCCCACACACAAACAGAGAGACAAGACATGCGTGACCAATGGGTCAGTCAGAATATTTGGGAGCCTCTCAGCATGAGTCAGACCCCCCCTCTCTATCTACCCCCCCCCACAAACTTAAATTTGGACTCCTTTTTTCATTTCTCCTTTACAACCCTCCCCCAAGCCTGAAACCCAAGACTGGACACGATACCTAGCAGCCGTCCTAGATGTAAATTAAAGCGAGAGTCGGGCCGCACTGTCCCTCATGACATCCTAAAAACAGAATCATTTACTGCTAGATAAATTAAAGATCGTAAATCTCCAGACGTATCAGAGGATATTCATTATTTACATAAGCACATTACATAAACAAATGTTTTTGATAAGGATGCCCTAAATTTTACAGCTAAAAAGATAACCTTGCCAGTGCTGTCTCTAGTGGATCAATGATGTAATCAGTGCTTCTATACTAGCTATAACAATATTGTCAGCATTTCTGTGCTGCAATTCCATATTAATTATCAGCCCATATACAACAATATATATGTGATAAGCTAATATTACTTTAGTTAAGTGCTTTTATTTCATTTTATCATTTTAAACCTTGTTCTGGACAATTTGTAATTTTTTCTGAAAACAGAAAGAGAAAAAACAAAACATTAGAAGGGGTCAGAATTAACTAAGTGGTCCCAGATGGGAATATAAAAAAAACATTTTATAAACAGCTGCAGAAAACAACGTTTTACTAAATATACCATACTGCATGAAACCGATGTAGTTATGAAACCCAGATGACATGACTCAGCAGGCCATTGACAACACCTCCTTCATCCATGTGTTTACTTTGCCTTCTTCTGACATCACATTGTATTCTCAGAGACTAATGAGGACATGCAGTCACAGCGCCTCATAACCAGTGACCACACTGTATATAGCAGAGCTTCCAAAAATAGATTACTTGGAATAATTGCATTAATTTATTGAATTAAATCACGCATGCAAAAGGCCACAGAGAAGAATGCTGAAGCTTGCGGACAACTGAGTCACAAAGGCCCACGGAGACTCGGTTCATATCTGCCTATAAAGCAAAGCTTTTGGCACATGTAAGAGCTGTGTTGTCTGACATATCACTTAAACCACACTCGAGGAAAAAAAGTGCTGTGAGAGTTTCTTGAGGCAGAGGTTCCAGAGGACGGAGTGAGAAAAGGCTGAGGTGCCAAGGAGGAGTGACATTTTAAAAGCAGCAGAGAATTAAGTACAATTTATGGATCCTGACAGTATAACCCTTCAGTGTGAGCGTGTGCGTGTCCATTGCCAGACCCACACCAAGTTAATTTAAAGACTTAGTCTTTATAGATTGAGTATGTAGCGGTTAACAGTCTTCCTTATTGCAGGGTCCAACATAATCAATGGCCTGGGGCCTGTTAAAGTTTAATGCTGGTTTGGGTTCATCCAGGCCATTGACAGGTCTGCTTATGAAAAGACGGTCGCTCTTTTCTAAATACATTTGGTTTTCTGAAGATGGACTCCTAATATACATCACCAATAATTTACCTTCAACATACTGAAGGTAAATCATCATCCACTATTACTATGAGGGCGTGTGGGCCAATGGAAAAATACAATGGACCATGCTATTGGTCTCAGAGTCTGAAGACAGACAACAGGGCTGAAATCAGAGTGGGTGAGGGTATTATAATGTGACGTGGAGGATTATCAGTCCAAAGCCTCCCAGACCTTCCTGACACCTTCCAGGCATTCCTCAGGGCACCTCCCACTGCTGTGCCTCCTTCATCCCACCCTCCCCTGTCAGACCCCCACATATCATCCCTCTTTTTCTGTGTGACTCAAACATTCTTGTAACCCCCTCCCCTCCTCCTCCGACACTCCCTCTGCATTCAGCAAAGACGCTAAAGAAAACAAAGACGAGGCCTAGAGTATTTTAAAACGTTTTCGGGAAAATAAATCCTCCCCCCTTTTTGAACTTATTCACCAATTGTGCTAACCTAAAAGTGCTCTCAGCGCTGTAGTCAGCTGTTTGATGATCACTGTCCATTACCACGTTAGAGCTTAGCAACTAATTGTAGGTATAAATGTCCAAAGAGTGGTACGTCAGCTCAGAGGAGACGAGTAAATGGCTCTCTAGCTGAGAAATAGACTGGTTGGGATGGGCAGTAGACAAATATGTTCTGTGGAAGGCAGCAGAGAGAGGGGAATACATGCTGATAGTGTCTTTGTTGGCCATTATTCATCAACAATGAATGAAGCACACTGTTGCTACTATGGCGTGCCCCTTCACATCTTCCCCCATTGCAACCCCTGCCCCTTCTTCGCTCTCTGTTTATTCAGCTTTCTGCTAAAAAACAGTTTTCAACAGGTGGACAGCCGGTTGGTCAAGACTATAGCCTGGAGAGTAAACAAACTGACAGCTCTATTTTCAGAGGCCAAAAAACAAGTTACAAAATCCTGAACTTTTGTTGACATCTGTCTTCAAACTCATGGCAAGCGACGTAAGGTAGTAAAGCTCTGTTTGTCCCAAACATGTCTAAGTTTAGCATTGCTATCTCATTATGGTCAGGCAAATGCTGTTGCTCCAGCGGTGTTGCTATGCCTTGTGTATCATTATGACAGACATGATGGCTTTCGCCAGCGAAGGTAATTGCACTGCTGAAACATAAATATAGCATATCCCACACCAAGAACAGACAAAGACTTTTGTTTTCTTCTCAGAAACGTGGCTCAGAATATGATTCATGTTTTAGTAGCAAATGTGTGTCACTAGATAATTCTTCTACAAATAAATAAAAAAATAAAATATTTGTATTGAAAACACATTGCCTAGGTGAAGGTGAAGACAAAGAGATGACAGGGGAGAGAGATTCAGAGAGAGATTCAACTGGATCAACTGCTGGTAAACAAATGTTGTATCCCTCCAAACGGGGGATAGAAAAGAGGCCAGAAGAGAAAAACACACAGCCTTATTTCTCTCTCTCTGAGGACTCCTTTCAGGTCAGTCTAACAAAGCACAAGCATCTCAGTTGGCTTTTAGCAGCTTCCAAGTTGTCAGGACTTTGGCCACACTTCGGCACCCTTTCTCCATCGTCTCTCTTTCTTCCTTCTTTACTCAGAACCATTCAGAAACGGCTACGACCTCAGTTACCACCATTTGAAAAAGAAAAAAACAACACTTCTACCTCTAGCATGGCTTTGTGTTTCATTCTTGAAAAGCTACTGCAACTGAAAGGCTATTTTTTAGAGAAGAAATCCATTTGGACATCGTTCATAAGCTGCAGCCTTCATTGCCTTCAAGTGGTCCTGTTGGAAATATCTAACTATTCAAACTGTCTCCTTCATCCCCTCTAGCTAAGCCAGTTTGTTTCAATCCTGCCTCTAGATATATAGTCGCTCTCTGTCTCTTGAGATAAAGCTGTACCATTAGAGTCACACTCTGCTGCCTGGCAGTGTTCCTATCAGTAAATGGAAATAGGCTACAGCCAGTCTGATTAGTACAGAGGAAAAGTTGTGACTGTCGTAAAGCCCTAAACTTTTCTTCATGCACGCAGTTGTTTGGGATGTTGCCGTCAAGTCTGGACGCCCATCTTATCGTTTGTCTCTCATCCAAGAAGTGCAGGTGAGTCATGGAACAAAAGAAAGTATATTTTGAGTCACCATCTCGTTCTTGCCAGAGACAACAGCTCCAAGCCTCAGGATTTCTTGGGACAGCGCAGGGACCCAACCCACAACCTACTGTATAAGTCTGGTCGATGCACACCACGTGCACTGAGAGAGCAAGGAAGCAAAGACAGAGTGAAGAAAGACGAAGTGAAACTGCCGATTTAATGTTACTGGAAATATAAAAAGCAAAAAGAAATTGGGGTGGGGCACTCAATGGACAGGAAATGCTGGTTAGTAACAGGGGAACTATCAGGTGGGTGCAGGTCAGGGGTCGGAGGTGAACAAAGGATTCATAAGCCCCACACAGAGCAAGGGAGAGGCCCCCCGGACACACTCACTGAAGCCCAGTCTGTCTGTCTACACCTTTCTCGACAGGCAGTGCCTCAGGCCTTAGTGTGTTTGTCTAACAATATTTTCTTACATCTGTTTGTCAAGTCTACATGCTTTACTTTTGTGCCCTACATTTAGAGTACGATGTTTCCCTCAGTTTTCTGGCCGGTTACTTCAAAACATTGTTTACAACGCTGGTCTGGTGTCTGGGGAGGAATAAACTACCCAAACACCTGCGGGAACAACAGCATTTAAAAGCTTTCACTGCACCAGGCCTGTCATCTCTCTCCTTCTGTGGCTTTAGTGGATCAAAGAGAAGCTGTAGCTGGGTTACAG